TAAACATATTTTATTATCTTTAAAAATCACCTGTGATTCGACCATGAAGTCTTTCTGGTTCTTCACTTCCCCTGTGCTTTTAACCACGAACTTGAACGAAACTTTACTGATTCCACTGTGTAGATCTTTGGCATCGACAGTTACTCTGTATGCACAATGTAACATTAAATAATTAATGTTTATACTCCACTTGATGAGATTTTCTAAAGGTGTCTGTAAGGTAATATTTTTTACAGCGATTAGTAAAAGCATTTTGTTGAGTTTGAGAAATGATTATCTATTCTATTTAATTATATTTTTAAAAGTGCATTATGAAAAGGATGAGGCGTTAACTACTTTTATTTGCGACTGTCACTCAGTCAACAGAGTAAAATTATCGTGATAGAATAGGTCATGGTGTTCAAGTATTGCAATCGGATTTTGAAAAATCTGGTATATAAAAATACAGTTCAACTTCAAAATCTGTTGGAAAATCTCTTTTATTATCAAAAGGATGAATCATAAAAACAAAGAAATCAATCAAAATTATAAATATACATCGATAATACCGAGCAGTAAGCTAAAGAAAAAAATCAGTACTAGTTAAGAACTCAAGGAAGACGACACATTATTCTATGCGAATCATTTAAAAAATTTTGAATCTATAATGGTCATATTCCAATATATTATGATATATTTGAAACTGAAACTAACTATCATATGTGTCAAGCAGAACAGTAAAATGGAAGCGTCATTTTCCTTGAATAGGTTCAGATTAATTTGAAAAAGTAAAATTTCAATATTTTCAATCTAAATTGATCGTGAAAAAACGGACAAAACATTGTAATAGATCGTGAAAGGCAACCAGTAACCAGACATAATGATCAGGAAATTAAATAAATTATACTAATTGATATACTTATAATTAGTTGAATGTGTGATTACTGTATAAGAACCTAATTAAAATTAATGTTTTAAATAAATGTTGTGTTTTTAATTAATAAATTGTTTTGTAGTTGACGACCATAAACTTTTTTAAAACAAGTTATCAAATAACTCAATGAAAGATAGTATTCATATTGACAAATATCTGTTCCATGGTCATTCACAAAAATACACAGCATATATATCTTTCCTGCTTAAGCAAAAATAAAGATATATGTATCTTTATATACATATTTACACACATAGTTATACATTTTTTCACTTAAGATGCAATTTGATTGATACACATCCAAAATAATATGGCAATCAGAAGCGTAACTTTTTGATTAAAATGAGAATCATTGTATCTATAATAATAAATGCATTAGTGAATAATTAAGAGAGAGATAGTCTGTGGGTGTTCCCTGGTAATACATGCATAGCAGGGTTTGTATCTTTAAAATGTTTTAAATCTAAACAGATAGTCAATTACATGACGCTAATCACTCATCACTATAAATAACACTGTCTAACTCTGAGTCAGAATCATAGGTCCGGGTATAATGATATTCTCCTGTGAATTGTGAATTCATTTCAGCTCGAATTAAACAAAAATCTGCTTGCCATATTGGTCTATTAATTAAGGCAGAACTCTTTTTTTATCGGATCATTCCATGTTTTAACTGTCGCTATTTAGCCATTGCTGACAGTAAAACGTTGAAATCAACACTAGTGTATATAACAGTTATAATCAAATTTCATAGTACAGTGATTGTTTTTGCCTAGTGGACTTAGGTATTCTAAATTCGAGATCATTTGTTCTTCATTGGTCAAAATTAGGTCTAGGGTATGCGGTGTGTTTGTACCTCTCCATCTTGTTGGCTTAGTTATGTGTTAAAATCAAAATTTCCCTGCAGATTTTCTAAGAATTTAAATTAATTACTCTCTGTACTATCACCTTGGGTATTCCAACTGTCCTAATTTATATCTAGAAAATAAAAGTCTCCCATTATAAGGATATGTAAAAAGCCTTTGCTACAAGCTACATTTGTTAGTGTATTGAGTTTATCAATAAATACCCGAGTCCTATTTGAAGGTGATCTACATATCAAGACTATTAAATAGAACTTATAATGAATTGTACTGTTCAAGCGAGTTTCACATCTGCCTGTTCTGACACGTCCTGTTTGAAGATACTTTAAAATTTTATAATATCTATTGGGAATGGACTATTTTGTCACACATTACTCAGCTTCTGTATTAAGCAAAGATTTGATATTTGGTCTAGAACTTTATTACGATCAGTTGTACCATGTAAACACTCTTTGTTTGACGATACTTTGAATTTTTTTAATACCTGTATTTCTCAGCTTCTGTATTCAGGAATGATTTCATATTTGGTCTGGAACATTTTTAAACGTTATACAGTGTGACATAGCTAAGATATGCCAGGCAATTACTTCCTGTTTAGATACTTGATTTTTTTAATTGCTTCATGAAAAAGAAGTCAAGGTTATCTGATATTTGCCAGACAGAAATGAAAGACCAAAAATGATCTATAAACCAAATAAATTGTCTAGTTCTGCATTTCCTCACCTGATAACCCCAACCCTCATTTCCTAACAGACGATAAACTTAAGATGAAGAATCAAGATATCATTATTTTATAACAGTATTTAATGACCTTTAAAGATACACTTATAAACTTTGTTTTTAAAATTATCACTGGTTCTTAAGAAGATATTTAAAGCTTATATCAATCTGACCTCTTTTTGAAGCCAAAATGAACTTTTTAGGACCAAAGCAACAACAGTAGTAACTGCACCAAAGTACTTTCAATTATCAAGGACATTGAAAAAGGCATATTGTGAAGTTATTTTCAAATGGTTCATTTTTTCTTATAGAAATAAATCTTTGAAATTTGAAGCAATCTTATTTTTTACTCTTTTTTGATCATTTGAGCCAAATTTGACTCAGGTCCGAAGTAACACAGCTTAGTAAGCATCTTCTCAAGACCATTTACACAAACTTGCATTTTATTTCAAAATAAAATAACAAAACATACTTTCCCTTAGGGTAACAAAGTCACCAGCTACACTAGAACAACCCAGGTCCATTATATTTGTTGATGAATCATCATCAGAGTAACAACACTTAGGCAGGACCATAAACAATATTCCTGACAAGTTTGGATTCAATTTGTTCAATGATTATAAAGAAGAAGACAAAATTGTGAGCTGTTAATGGAACGATGACAATGGCACACATCAAGTTGTTTCAATAGCCAACATGATCTTTGTTCAGGTGAGCTAAACAAAACTGTAGAAAACTTATTTCAAATAGAAAAGCACATCCTAAATTCTACGGTGATGTTGTTAACCGAGCCCGGAAATTTAGATACGAATCGATCCGAGTAAATTTATAAATCCTTTAAACAAACTTATTCTAATAGGTAACCTTTTCAACACTGTAATTAAATCTTTGAATATTGTTTTTATTGGTATAGATATTGATTTTGTTATCAGTAAATTAAAACAATACTAAATATTACACATATGTACTTTCACAGTACTACAATCTGTCGATACCTATATTTTGACATTCACAAGGTCATGTTTTTATCTGACTGTTGATGACATCTTTACACTAAATCCATTGGATGTTGGATGTGTACTGATTGATATTTTAGTCTTGGATACATGATTTTTTTATTAGTTGTTATCGGCTTTCAACTAGCTGCCAGTAACTGTAAGTACTCTCAGATCTGTACTTAGTGTCTCTTTTGTTGTTAGGGATGTGTGACGGATAAATACCCTGCCATGTCCTATCTGTGTTTTTGTTTGATGTTTTTGTTTGTATCGGTCTGATGAGTTAAGCCTTTTTCAACTGATTTTTATAGTTTGTTCTTATGTTGTGCTGTTACATCACTGTCCCAGGTTAGGGGGAGGGTTGAGCGCTCACAAATATGTTTAACCCTGCCACATTCTTTATGTGCCTGTCCCAAGTCAGGAGCCTGTACGGCAATGGTTATTGTTGGTTGACGTTTAATATTTGTTTTTCGTAAATTGTTTTGTTATAAATTAGGCCGTTAGTTTTCTCAATTGAATTGTTTCATATTTTTCATGTCGGGGCCTTTTATAGCTGACTATACAGTATGGGTTTTTCTCATTGTTGAAGGCGTTACGGTTGCCTATAAATGATAACATCCACTTTATTTGAACTTTGGTGGATAGTTGTCTCGTTGGGAATCATACTACATCTCCTTATTTTTATAAAAGCTCACAACGTTTTTGGCCTGGTAAGTTAAAAAACTTTTTGAATTCAAGATTTGTGAGTATATACATACCAGGTAATATATCATGTTTCTACCATAATTCTTTTACCTTTACCAAATAGTTGGTATAGTTTAGTTTTTATCTTGGTAAATAACAGTTACACAGTGTGCTAATGACCTAATAAAATATATATGGGGTCAGTAAATTCCATATGGGGCAAGAGAGAGTGAAGATAGGCCATATATAGAATTACTGACCCTGTATATATAGCGCACCGTGTTACTAATTTATCTCGCCCTCCACCCCACTATCTTGATATAGGTTATTTAGATGAAACTATAATAATAATAAATATTTTGCAGTTGCTGTTATAGTAATCAATATGAGTCATTAAATCAATATTTGGTGTCTGGTGGACTATTAATCATAAAAAGAACAAAAATTGATTTCTGATTTTTTTTAGCATTGATCCCATTGGAATATGAGTTTATTTTTTTGTGTTTGTTTATTCATAGAATGTATTTACTTAATTTAAACATCGTCATTTTGTCAAACACACAAAAAAACATTCAATAGGAACAATGTTGAAAATTTTGTCAGAAATCAACTTTTAATATACGAATCAGTGTTTATATTGAACAGATCGAAAACATATTATTGATATTGAATAAATACAATATTACATGCAGTTTTGTGAGTTGAAACTTGTATTTTCATGTTTTTAGAAAATATTTGTTCTTAAGGTAAACCAATCAATGAGTGATGGATTTCTTTTATTTGTTTATTCCTGTTTTGACATGCTAGGCAGAGAATTGCAAGACATTTGTGATCTACTAATATTTTATTGCAAAATAAGGCAATCACTATTTGTGTTACTATTTGTATACATTGAAATTCTGATCAATTTTGACTTGTAAAAATGCATTTGTTGAGATTTGTATGCAGTATCTAATTAAATGTTCATAAAAAGAAATATTTCCATATTGTACATGTGCATATATAATGTATTATTAAATTAATATACATGTTGTTTAGATTGAGCTGAATGTTTTGTCAATTAACACAACAATATGTTTATATACTATGTAGATATAGGAAGATGTGGTATCAGTGCCAATGAGACAACTCTCCATCCAATTTACAATTTATAAAAGTAAACCATTATAGGTCAAGGTATGTGCATTGTATATCAGATTTTCTAATGGCTGAGCTATCAGCAAATCTTGCTCATTATTTAAAACATTAAAAAACAAATAAGGTACAGAATATCAAACAAGATGAACCAATATTTTAGAGAACTATCGTTAGTTTTGTATGAACATAATAAAAACAAAATTGCTAATGCCTTCTTTAATTTCACAATCAGTTCAAAACTTTTGTATTGAGAAAATAAAATGATTGGAAAATAAATAAAAACAGTTTAACTTGACTGAAAATGGCCAAAATAACCCAATACAGAAACTAAATAAACTTCCTCAAAATACTGAATATTATTAATACAATATTCAAGGGCAGAATTAACATGATAGAAGATTGCTGCTTTCAAGGAACAATGTAACAAGTCTTAATCCTAATTTGAAGTCATCTCTTTCAAGTTTTATGGATGTCAGCATGATCTGGTTGACTGTCATGGGATATATGTGTCACATTAATAATCCTACTTATCAATGGAATTTCACTTGCTAGAACTGTATTATTGCACTTACACTGAAATCTTTCCCTTAGCCAGATAAAAACAAGAATGTGTCCATAGTACACGGATGCCCCACTCGCACTATCATTTTGTTCAGTGGACCGTGAAATTGGGGTCAAAACTCTAATTTGGCATTAAAATTAGAAAGATCATATCAAAGGGTACTAAGTTTCAAGTTGATTGGACTTCAATTTCATCAAAAACTACCAAAATTTTTAACCTGAAGTGGGACAGACGGACGGACGGACGAACGGACACACAGACCAAAAAACGATAGTAGGGCATACAAATAAATCTGTTGAAACATCGACACCTGACCTCAAGATCTCACACATTACAATACAACTTGAAAAATGTATTATAAATCAAATATTTTTAAGAAATCATAATTTAGGCATGAACTAACATTTTCTAAGCACCATATATATAGAGAGATAGCATTATGATATTGGAAATTTTGTTTTTTCCAGCATTTCCATATCAGAAATAAGTTGCTAAAAAGTGCTCAAAATAACATAAAATACAAGAGTGCACACGCTGAAATGTCTCGCCTTCTTTAATAACCGTTGATATTATGTTGATAGTCCTAAATATAAAGCTTTACTACAACTATCACATAAACTTAACATGATCCAAGAAAATGAGGTCAATATCATATAAACCAAACGATGAATACATGTACACCTTACAATCATTCAATACACTGAATATAGTTGACCTATTGCTTATAGTTTCTAAGAAACATACTTAACCAAGAAAACTTAACATTGACCAATGGACCATGAAAATGAGTTCAAGGTCAGATGAACCATGCCAGGCAGACATGAACAGCTTACAATCCTTCCATACAACAAATATAGTTGACTCATTACTTACAGTTTAAGAAAAACAGACCTAAACACAAAACCTAACACTGAGCAATGGAGCGTGAAAATGAGGTCAAGGTCAATTAAAACCTACGAGACTGACATGTACATCATGAAATATTTCCATACACCAAATATAGTTGACCTATTGCATATAGTATAAGAAAAACAGACCAAAACACAAAAACTTAACTATAACCACTGAACCATGAAAATGAGGTCAAGATCAGATGACACCTGCCAATTGGACATGTACACCTTACAATCCTTCCATACACCAAATATACTAGACCTATTGCTTATAGTATCCGAGATATGGACTTGACCACCAAAACTTAACCTTGTTCACTGATCCATGAAATGAGGTCGAGGTAGAGTGAAAACTGTCTGACGGGCATGAGGACCTTGCAAGGTACGCACATATTACATATAGTTATCCTATTACTCATAATAAGAGAGAAATTAACATTACAAAATATCTTAGCTTTTTTTTCAAGTAGTCACTGAACCATGAAAATGAGGTCAAGGACAATGGACATGTGACAGACGGAAACTTCGTAACATAAGGCATCTATATACAAAGTATGAAGGATCCAGGTCTTTCACCTTCGAAAATATAAAGCTTTTAAGAAGTTAGTTAACGCCGCCGCCGCCGCCGGATCACTATCCCTATGTCGAGCTTTCTGCGACAGAAGTTGCAGGCTTGACAATAATAAAAACCTATTTGGCCCATACCACAAATATTTCAACAGTTTGATGATATAAAAAATGTGTGGCAAATTAATAATCTATACTTCCCTTGCCACATATATTCCTACAGCAAAAAGCCTTGCGTGGCAAATCGTCTCACAGTGGATATGAAAACTATGCAAAAGCTTGATTGAACAATAATATTTACGACCATAATCCTAAACAACTTGCAAGATGTTTTTCTACAAATGTAAATAATTTTTATCTTTTGTCAATGGTTATCCAGACTTCTTCACTAGGATGTGTTACAAGACCATGCACAGGAGTAATTACTTGACCTTCAACCATATTAAACTTGAACTTTCTTAGTAAGGTCACAAAGCAAACAGTAGCTTCAGCATAGGCAAACCTATATCCAGGACAAATCCTTTTCCCAGCAAATCCAAAAGGTTGGAAAGCTAACCTTCGTCTCTTCTTACTGTTCTCTTTACTAAATCTATCAGGATCAAATCTACAAAATTATATAAGATTTTCATCTACAACAATAAGTATTTTTTAATCACAAGTCAAAATTGGACATTTTTTTCTTTCATTTTAGAGGATATCTAGATGGGCTTAAATACACACTAGCTTGAAACTTTTCAGAGTTATTTTGATTTTAAAAGAGATTCATCAAAAATTGTTAGCTACTGAAATCAAATTTTGTTATATTTACTTTCACACGAGACTGAACGAAATCATTAAAAATACAAGACATGAAATATGAACAAGAAATGCATGTTTATCATATGATGTATTGTCAAATACTAAGTTTTACTGTCATAAATTATAACTTTTGATCTAAGTTTAGAATCCATGGTTCAATCACAGGAGAAGATCCGGTAAGGGCTTATTTTGGCCTAAAATTTGAAGTCCATCTGGTGAAAGATTTTTGACATTTTCTAAAAACTTAAGTGTCTTCTTCAGTTGATTCAATTAGTTTATGTAAAAGATTTGAACTGATTTGGTCATTAAAGACGCCTAAATTCAAGCTTAGATATGAAAAATCTATCAAATATGCCACAAAACGTCACTTTCCAGATGGTTTTTGTCTAAAATAAAAGTGGCCGCATTCGTGTTCAGTCTCAGCATTTCTATATGTTATGTTTCATTAAGACTGAACACAAGTTCGGCCACTTCCATTTTAGACAATAAACTGTTATCACAGAGATATGTCTCGCCTTTTTGTAATTTTGATAATGCAAATGTTGAAATTAAAATAGCAATACTTTAACATGTAAGTTATGCAAATATTCAAAGTCGATGAACCATGACTGAAGGTACATGGCTAAACAATCTCCATGGAATGAGATGTGCCAATGCTAATATAACTGCATACCAAATACCATTGACTTATTATAAGTCGTTCCCTTTAAACAAATCTAAACACAAACATTAACTTGTAAACTATGTAAAAGTTTCAAAGTCAATGAACCATGATCAGGGGTGGGGGCTATATAATCTCCATGGGAACGATACATGCAAATGCCAATAAATTTGCATACCAAATATCGTTGACTTAACATTAGCAGTTCATTTTAAACTGATCTAATCACAAACTAATACATGTAAACTAAGCAAAAGTTTCAAAGTAAATAGACCATGACTGAGGGGGCGGGGCCAAATATTCTCCTTGGAAATGAGATGTGCAAATGCTTATACAACTAAACACAAATTAACATTGGCCTACCACTAATGGTTCCCTTGAACTGACCTAATCACAAACTAATACATGTTAACTTAGCAAAATTTTCAAAGTCTATAGACCATGACTAAGGAGGTGGAGCCAAATAATCTCCATGGAAATGAGATATGCCAATGCTTATACAACTGCATACCAAATATCATTGACCTACCACTAGTGGTTCCCCATAAATTTACCTAATCACAAACTAATACATGTAAACTATAAAAAGTTTCAAAGTCAATAGACCTTGACTGAGGGGGCGGGCCAAATAATCTCCATGGTAATGAGATGTGCCAATGCTAATACAACTGCATACAAAATATCATTGACCTACCACCAGTGGTTCACCATGAACTAGATCTAATCACAAACTAATACATTGTTGACGCCGCCGTCGCCGTCGTCGCCGCCGACGCCGGAAACAGCATACCTATGTCTCGCTTTTTGACTCCGTCAAGGCGAGACAAAAACCGTATAAAAATAAGGACAAATGCTAAAATTGTGAAGGTTTCACTAATTTTACATGAATTAATGATGCTAGTATCTGATGCATGTGCATCGTAATGTCAAAAACAAGCCCATATTTATGTAACAAAAGTATTCTTTCCAACAAAAAGCTTAAAGTTTTCATTCTTAACAAATTTTTGAAATGCTATATGTTGGCGCCAAAAAGGGGTCTTACCGGGCCTATTCCTTACAATGTGTTCTTTTTACAAAAACCCCAACTAAATTCCCCAAAAATATTGTGGTCAAGTTGAACAAGTTTGAATATGACTTTTGGTTCAAGTATTGTGTCAACAATAATACAGTATGCACATCTTATGGAAAAATGTAACACATTAATTCAAACATTGAATATATATACATGTAGTTTGCCTACCATGAACCAGCAACATTAAACACATTTTCATTTACATCTAGGTTTATGTCTTCCTTATACTTTATAGATACCTGTTAGGTACTGGCCATATGGCTTCATCTTGCTGTGTCACACCAAGAGCATGGATTACAGGAGTCTGAAAATAAACAATCATTCCTGGATAACAAAATGAATAATAGTTGATTATTTTTAAATAAGTTCAACAAATTATCTCAGGGATTGTATTTGACTGTCGATGAACTCATCAAGGAACTTTTATGTTATTTTCAACCTGATGAAACCCACTGGCACCACTGCACTTCTTTGGGTTATTTTTTCTAAATAAAATTGAAAATGGAAATGGGGAATATGTCAAAGAGACAACAACCTGACCAAGGATCAGACAACAGCCGAAGGCCACCAATGGGTCTTCAACGCAGCGAGAAAATCCCGCACCCGGAGGTGGTCCTCAGCTGGCCCCTTAATAAAATTGTGTACTAGTTCAGTGAAAATGGACGTCACACTAAACTCCAAAACATATAAATGAACTAAAATTAAAAAACATGCAAGACTAACAAAGGCCAGAGGCTCCTGACTTGGGACAGGCGCAAAAATGCGGCGGGGTTAAGCATGTTTTGTGAGATCTCAACCCTCCCCCTATACCTCTAGCCAATGAAGAATAAAGAAACACATAGCAATACGCACAGTAAAACTCAGTTTAAAAGAGTCCGAGTCCGATGTCAGAATAGGTAACAAAAGAAACTAGGCAAAATGACAATGATACATAAATTAACAAAGAACTACTAAAGAATCTTTCTGTTGTCCTTGCAGTAAAGTTTCAAATAATTCTATAGTTACAGAGAAAAGATTCTGGAAAACTGTTCAATTGAAATAAAAGAATACCTTTGCTGCCATTTCTTCATTTTTAACAAAATCAAATGAACAGGTTAATACAATCTAAGACTCTCTCATCTTGCAATAGTATTAAAACATTTGACTTTTCTACACTTTACACAAGTATTCCCCAAACTAAAAGACAAATTGAAAGAGTTGGTATTACTTTGTTTCATTAAGAAGAATGGCGAACGTAGATACAAGTATCTTGTCTTGGGGAGGGATAAATCCTACTTTGTAAGGAATCAACCTGATTCAAACAAAAAATTCTCTGAAACTGACATTATCAAGATGCTTGATTTCTTGATTGACAACATATTTGTTACGTTTGGAGGACGTGTTTTTCAACAGACTGTCGGAATTCCAATGGGAACCAATTGTGCCCCTCTTCTTGCCGACTTGTTTCTTTATTATTATGAGGCTGACTTCATACAGGAGCTTCTTAGGAAGAGAGATAAGAAGTTAGTAATATCCTTTAACTCTACGTTCCGCTATATAGATGATGTTCTCTCACTAAATAATACAAAATTTGGTGACTATGTTGAACGAATCTATCCCATCGAACTAGAGATAAAGGATACTACAGATACAGTTAAGTCTGCCTCATATCTTGACTTACATCTAGAAATTGACAATGAGGGTCGGTTGATAACAAAACTTTACGACAAAAGAGATGATTTCAGCTTCCCAATTGTGAACTTTCCATTTCTATGTAGCAACATTCCAGCAGCGCCTGCATACGGAGTATGTATCTCCCAATTGATACGATATTCCCGCGCTTGTGTTTCCTATCATGATTTTCTTGATAGAGGATTGCTGCTCACAAGGAAGCTATTAAACCAAGAGTTCCAAATGGTGAAGTTGAAGTCATCCCTTCGTAAATCTTACGGACGCCATCACGAGTTGGTTGACCGTTATGGAATAACCGTTTCACAGATGATATCGGATATGTTCCTTATGTCGTAACTACAATACCCTTCCCTTTTCGCGAATGTGACTTACCGAATTAGACTATTTACCGGATTTGTAATAACATAAGCAACTCGACGGGTGCCACATGTGGAGCAGGATCTGCTTACCCTTCCGGAGCACCTGAGATCACCCCCAGTTTTTGGTGGGGTTCGTGTTGCTTAGTCTTTAGTTTTCTATGTTGTGTCATCTGTACTATTATTTGTCTGTTTGTCTTTTTATTTTTGGCCATGACGTTGTCAGTTTGTTTTCGATCTATGAGTTTGACTGTCCCTCTGGTATATTTCGTCCCTCTTTAATAGAGGAGATTTAATACATAATCTTACCAAGCTTAATTTTATAAAAGAGAACATAAATGTCAACTTATCACACAATTCTGATCAAACTTAAATAAAGTTAACACCAGGTTACAAATTTATAGAAAATCATCAACAGAAAATGAAAGTTTTAATTAGAAAACAATTTTACCTAGTGAAAAACAGATCTCTTGTTGTTCATATCAAAGTAATAGATTTTTATTGATATCTTAAATATCATATTGTTTCATTCAAAGGCCTTTTAATTTATATAATGTATACATTACTAATGTCAACAGACAACATGATTCTTACTGGTCAAAAACACAATTGAACATGAATTCAGAGAGTCAAACTTGTCGAAAGATTTTAACAGGTCATTTAAATATACAATATTCTCATACTGGCTCAAATTTTATAAGTGCGGTGTACTATTCAAGAGGATCGTAGTGATGCAATATCATTGATATACAACAAAGAAAATATCCTAAACAAAAATGTCAAGCATGAAATACACATAATAGTTCTGAATTCAGTCATGTATAATCAGCAGGGCACATATCTAGAATATCCAGTACTACAAGCAAGAAATGAAAGATGTTTTTTTTTATAAATGGTAGAGGTCCCCTAATAACTTTTCAAATTCATGAATCATATATGATCTCTTAATGATTTCCCTTATTCATATTAATATGAAATTTTATTAAAAATCAATTATTTACTGCAAAATATTCAAATGTTTCAGTGCAAATTTCAGCCTTCTAATATAATTTGAAAAGACCTCATTGAACCTGCCTAATGAAGTATAAAAGCAGAAATGTAATCAGTCATTCCTTCAGATTTGGTGTTTCAGAATGCTGCAGGTTTTTTCCTCAGCTTAATGTATTTCAAATATTAAAATGTTGAATAAATCGAACAGAAATTTCCATTGTTATTTTAATTGGCAATCATACAACATCTCCTTATTTTCATATTGGTTGCAATTTACAACATCTTCAAATTCTGGTTAATGCCATCATAATAACATTATATGGCCCAATACTTTTGTAATTGGGCATTACATAATTAACAACTCACATTTTTAGGTATTTTGTGCCCTCCTAATTCAGAGTCAAAATCCTGGAATCTGGCTGCCCATGGGGCAATGACTGCACATCTTAGGGTCTCATCTATAACTTGTCGTAAATACCTTTTCACAATAAAAAAAAACTATTGTATAAAACATTTGAACAGAACCTCTATTCCAAAATTAAAATTCATATGGGATAAATATACCCATACATACCTAAAACTGCCAATACTAAAAGTTTCTGTTCTGGTTGTGGCCTGTTATCTATTTCTTGCATGAAGAGATATATCTCGTATCACACTGCACGGAGTGTGATACGAAAACTGTGTTAATTTGATTGGCTTATCCAGCATCATGAGACGATATTACAACATTTCCATTAGCTATTTGTTAGGTCATTGATAACTTTCAAAGGTTAAGACAATGCACATTTCGTCCATAGCAACGGACATTTGTGATTTTTTCAATAATATACAAAACACTCACACTTTTCACCTGGAAATCTTCTTTTTGTCAAATATTTACGCCTTAAAAGGACATATGACGTCATACTTGTATGTCCAAAAGACTATATCAATGATTCGCGGACTTTTTAATTTAACACAATAAGAGTGTTGACCATAAGAGAAAAAATTTAACAACTCATGAGAATTGGATATCGCTTGATATAAACTCTCGTTATTTAATTTAAAAAGTCATAATAACCTCGACGAAGGCTTGGTTATTATCATATTGAAATTAGATAACTCAAGTTGATATCAAGCGATATCCAATTCTCACTCGTTATGAAGACTCCAATACTCTAACTTCAACTCACAGGTGTATTTTTGTACTTAAAGTAGTTTTTATTTGACTCCAATTGCATAAGAACCATGTTCTAATTCCTTTGAAAGTATCAATACATTTATGCAGAGAAGGGCTTTCAGTTACACTAAATAATTGATACTTGAGAACTGATGCTTAACTATTGTAACAAAAAAAAAAACTAACACTATATCATTGTTACTAGAGTTCTAACACTAAACCATTGATACTAGAGAACTATCACTAAAACATTGATACTAGAGAACAGCGGCTCTTTTCACAAAAAATCTTAAGAGTAAAAATACTCGTAAGACATACACATTTCAGTATAACTTACGATCAATTTTAGTCGTAAGATTTTTTGTGAAATAAGTCGCTGACTCTTAATCATTGAAACTAAAAGAAGTGGGACTAAATCACTGATACTAGAGAACTGACACTTAATCATTGATACTAGAAAACGCATAAAATTAAGGAAAAGACAATCTGACGGACAACAACATTGCTTATTAATTCAAAGTCGCTGGATCAAGATCTTGTGGGCAGGGTCGACAAACTGAGATGTACTGATAGTAATGCAACTTTATACAAAATATCATTGATCTGTCACAAGCAGTTCTTATCAAACTGACTTATGCAGAAAAATTAACATTGAAAATTGCTAATTCATTCAAAGTCACTGGACCATGACCTAGGGGGCAAGGCCTCAAAATAGTTGTCAAACAGATATGTACTGATAGTAATGCAACTTCATACAAAATAACATTGATCTATCACATGTAGATCCTATCAAACTAACTCAAGCAGAAAACTTAACATTGAAAATTGCTTATTAATTCAAAATCACTGGACGATGTCCTTGGGACCAGGACCTCAAAAATAGTTGTCAAACTGATATGCACTGATAGTAATGCGACCTCATAAAAAATCTCATTGATCTATCATAAGTAGATTCTATCAAACTAACTTAAGCAGAAAACATATCATTGAAAATTGCTTGTTAATTCAAAGTCACCGGACCATGACTTTTGGGGCAGGGCCTCAAAATAGTCGCCAAACTGATATGTACTGATAGTAATGCAACTTCATATTAAATCGTCCTGAACATGCATGAAATATTTGCCACTGGACGTAAAGCAACAAACAATCAATCAATGAATCATATTAAATATCAATGATCTATCACAAGTAGTTCCTATCAAACTAACTTAAGCAGAAAACTTAACATTGAAAATTGCTAGTTAATTCAAAGTTACTGGACCATGACCTAGGGGGCAGGGCCTTGAAATAGTCGTCAAAATGATATGTACTGATAGTAACGCAACTTTATATTAAATATCAATGATCTATCACAAGTAGTTCCTATCAAACTAACTTAAACAGAAAAACTTAACAATTGTTGACGCCAGCGCCGTCACTGTCGCCGTCAAAACAATCCCTATGTCTCACCTTCCGCGTCTTTCGTAGCAGGCGAGACAAAAACTATAAAACTTAGACTAAATCACTGATACTAGAAAACTGACATTTAATCATTGATACTAGAAAAACACTTAAACATAGATAATTTAGACTAAATCATTGATACTAGAAAACTTAGACTAAATCATTGATACTAGAGAACTTGCACTAAATCATTGATACTAGAAAACTTACACTTAACCATTGATACTAGAAAACTTAGACTAAATCAATGATACTAGAAAACTTAGACTAAATCATTGATACTAGAGAGCTGACACTTAATCATTGATACTAGAAAATTTACACTTAATCATTGATAATAGAAAACTCCGAGTAAATCATTGATAATAGAAAACTTACACTTAATACTTAATCATTGATACTAAAACACTTAAGACCAAATCAGTGATAATAGAGAACATAAACTTAATCATTGAAACAAGAGAACTTAGACTAAATTATTGATAATAGAAAACTGACACTAACTCATTGATACTAGAAAACGTAAGACTTAATCATTGATACTAGAAAACTTACACTAAATCATTGAAACTAAAAAAACTTAAGACTTAATCATTGATACTAGAAAACTTAAGACTTAATCATTGATACCAGATAACTTAAACTAAATCCTTGATACTAGAAAACAGACACTAAATCGTTAATACTTGAGAACTTACACATAATCATTGATACCAGAAAACTTAAGACTTAATCATTGATACTAGAAAACTTAAACTAAATCCTTGATACTAGAAAACAGACACTAAATCGTTGATACTTGCGAACTTACACATAATCATTGATACTAGAGAACTTTAGACTTAATCATTGATACTAGAAAATAGACACATAATCATTGATACTTGAGAACTTAAGACTTAATCATTGATACTAGAAAACTTAAACTAAATCCTTGATACTAGAAAACAGACACTAAATCATCGATACTTGAGAACTTACACATAATCATTGATACTAGAAAACTTAAGACTTAATCATTGAAACTGGAAAACTTAAACTAAATCCTTGATACTAGAAAACAGACACTAAATCTTTGATACTTGAGAACTTACACATAATCATTGATACTAGAGAACTTTCACTGAACCATCGATACTAGAGAACTTAAACTAAATCATTGATACTAGAAAATTTACCCTTAATTATTGAAACTAGAGAACTTAGACTAAATCGTTGATGCTACAGAAATGACACTTAATCATTGATACTAGAGAACCTAAGACTAAATCATTGATATTAGAGAACTTACAATAAATCATTGATACTAGAGAACTTACACTAAATCATGATACTAGAGAACTTACACTAAATCATTGATACTAGAAAACTAACACTTTATCATTGATACTAGAAAACTTAGACTTAATCATTGATACTAGAGAACATAAGACTAAATCATTGATACTAGAAAATTTACACTGAACCATTGATACTAGAGAACTTATGAACGGATACTATATGTTATTCGGGATTTTCACAGGGAATAGGGGCTCATATTCCCTATCAGTGTTTTATATCTTCTGAGCTGCCAGGCGAAAGGGATATAGGGCACTGACAGGGAATATGAGCCCATATCCCACATAAAGCTCGAATAACAATTATAATATACTAGAGTGTCCTGATTTCAACACTTATTACCATGTTTTCTTTGTTTTCCTTCACAGGGGATATGGGCTTGAAATAGGTAACCAATCAAATTGCAGGATTAACCAGGATATTTCACTCCAGTATAATATTGGAGAATTTACACTTAATCATTGATAAAAGAGACTTTACACATAACTGTTGTACTGGAGAACTTACTCTCAATCATTGATACTTGAGAATTTACACTTAATCATTGATAATAGAGACTTCACACATAACTGTTGTACTAGAGAACTTACTCTCAATCATTGATACTTGAGAATTTACACTTAATCATTGATAATAGAGACTTTACACATAACTGTTGTACTGGAGAACTTACTCTCAATCATTGATACTAGAGAAATTGCACTAAATCATCGATGCCAGAGAACCAATGTTAAATCATCGATAAAAGAAAACTTACACTAAGTCATTGATAAAAAGAGAACTTACACTAAATCATTGATAAAAAGAGAACTTACACTAAATCATTGATAAAAAGAGAACTTACACTAAATCACTGATATTAGTGTGATCAACATCATCACTTCCGAGAGCACTCTTAATCTCTTTCTGAACTTTATCTTGGATATCCTGATGTGTGGCAAGGAAGTAAAAACACCAGGTCAGCACTGTAAACAAAATTTATAAAAAAAGAAATTATTTACAAGAATTTCCTAATCGTCATATAAATCTATACATACTTTATAAATCAAAATATACCAAAAAAAAAAAGGTAAAACAGCCATGATTTTTTAATATAAATTCCCATGGGGTTTAAATGTGTGTCCAGATTTTTACGGGTCACAATTTTATATCATATCTATTTTTACTTACCAGTCAAGGAATATACATATAGGATTTATCTCCATTACGATGCTCTCATAACTCGCAAACACACAGATGATTTCAAACATCTAAAACTCCTAGATCATATGGGTATTCAAACTCCTCAGTTAATCTTTCGGCAGCAACAAAACAAGACGTTCTCACTTCGTTTGAGACTTATGGGATAATCTTGTGGTCTTTTTATTTATGTACTATTAATACAGTATGTCCTGTATTGTTGGACGATGAAAGAAGAGCCAAGACACTCACTCGTTGATGAAAATGCTGAAAATTTGAATGATTCAGACAGTACAGGTGAAATGGGTGACATTCTCATACATGTGGGGAATAAAATGGCGAGAACCACAAAAGATGCCGTCAAAGAAAAAGAAACTTGTGTCAAAGACAGCAGAGCTGGAAAACAAACTGTGCAGCTAGAACAAAGGTTTGATAATAAAAGTAGATAGGTATTTTGGTTTGTTTTACCAAGTCAAGCTCTACAACAGGTAGTTCGATTGTGACATGAATTTCTCAGATTGGTGGTTTAGGCATGCAGAGAGAGAAAATTTCTGATAACGTCCAAAATTCAGGGGAATGTAGACTTTTAATATCTTTAAATACAAATTTGGAAAATTTGGGAAGTCATAGAATAACTAAAATTGAGTTTGATATGTGATCAGAACTTTCTTTATAACCAGACAGTCATGAAAGGGCTGATTGATTGGGGTTGTGTTCATCAGATGAGGAGGACTCACATATGGGAAGTAGTCCTGTACATGAGTTTCAGGCTGGAAACAAGTCAAAAAGAGTTGATGGATTTTGCTAATATTTACACACTCAACCTATTAGTAATGTTATATGTGGTCAATCGGAACAGAGACATAACATAGATAGTAATGATACACTTTAACCTGTGGTTAAACAGACAAACAACTTAAATGTCTTGTCAAAATTGTTTAAGGAATATATTCCTGTAGAATCATCAGATATTTCTAGTGGGTTGCTTATTGATGAAGGACAGATTAGAATTTTAGAATTTTCATGGAGAAGTAAGACTCCTGAGAAATAAGCTGCATTTAAAGATGAATATCGTAATTGTTTTCCTTTTAATGAGAAACCAATGAGTTTTTTGCAAATTCCAAATTTGGGCGATTTATTAGAGCCAATGATAAGAACTGTTCATGGGACAAAACCAGTGAAGTCTTGGGATGAACAGTTGTTTTCCCAACCTTTAAAACAAATAAAAAGGTTATCGTTTCAGGGTCAGATGGCTGTACATAAAGCATTATATCAGTGTTGTATATGCAATAAGATTGAGCAACCTTATTAGGTAAAGTTGAAATGAACACGTTAGTGATATAGCTTTATAACGTCATTTATTCTCAATTTTTCAGAAAAAAATCTTAGACTATCCGCCAACTGGTATCTTGGACTGATAAATAATTGGTTGATGAACAAACGTGTAGTTGAGGAACTGTTTCAAATTTGGGGAAGCTTTTGAAAAATTTGTTTGCTTCAATAGACTATCGTCAAACAGAAATAATTTGTTCTTGGAGCCGACGTCCGAATGCACATGCATAAGATGCTCTGACAATTTCATGGAAGAGAATGTTTGCTTTGCATATCCTCCTATTCCGAAAGTCCTTAATATATATGAGGAAGTTCAGTAGAGCTCCAATGGCCATTGAGGCACTGGTATTCAGAACTGCTACAGTTATTGATAGCAGTTCCAATCAAGTTACCAGTAATTTCGGAGCTATTGTGTCAACATAAAACACTGATTTCTAACAACAAATGTTTTCAAACAGAAGGCTTTTCTACAGGAGCAAGAGAGTTACTCTCTGCCTCATGGCAAAAAGGAACTCAAAAAGACTACTGCTCAAGATAAAAAAAATTCAGTAGCTGATGTTTACAATAATTTTAAGTCAGATAGCAGATTTCTTATTATATTTAATTGATAGTGGTTTCCAATACAGAACCATTGCAGGATATCGCTCAATGTTGTCTACAGTGTTACCTTTAGTAGATTATTTTCAAATTTGGTGACATCCACATACGACAAGATCGCTTAGGGGAAAGTTCAATACTAGACCTCCTGCAGTTTAGCTAGTCCCTGAGTGGGATTTACATTTAGTTCTAGATATGTTAGAAAAGAGTCCTTAAGAACCTATAAAACAGATAACTTTAAAAGATTTAACATTGAAAACTGTGTTTTTAACTGCTATTACTACTTACAGGAAATGTAGTGATCTGCAGGCACTAAGAACAGATGAAAGCTCTATGAGAATTCAGGGTAAGGGCATCACTTTTATCAGACACGGTCTAGCCAAACAGAATAGGGAGAAACATTTTGGCGCACAAATCTTTGTTCCTACTTACACTCATTATGGAAGTTTACACCCCAGAGAGCAATGTCCACCAAAACTTACGTGCAACTGGTCTGGTGCCCATGGTAAAAGTTGAAAATGCATATTCCCTCAGTATGACCTAAATGATTGGAAAGTAAAAAGCTTACAGTTGAATGATTATGTGAACAACAGAAGCCATGCATTGCATGTGATTATTATAACTCACACAGGTTCTTAGGCTATGTCTACTAATATACTGATATACAATCATTGTAATACATAACACATACGATAATGACTTACAATTTGCTGTAGTTTGAAATCCACCAATAATAAAAGATAAAATGTCTGAGAGTAAAGTTTCTTCATCCTGGCAATTTTCTATAAGGATGTCAATCAAAAGTAATTCTCCCTTCTTGGCTGGATTTTTCTTCCTGTGTTCCAATGTTCTTTTTATTATTCCATACAGCTTGTCTTTTGCTACCAATAAACAAGGAATTATATATGAAGGATAATATTTATCCACATCATTATATTTTAAAATCAAATAAAAAAGAAGAAAATAAAGGAACATTCTGAGAGTATTGCATAGCAATACATAGTCCCCTACCGGTTAAAAATTCATTGTACTATAACAAAATGCTGAATTGATCTATAACTTGTCATGGTGTAAACTATATAACAAATATCAAGTCAATATCTTCAAGCATGACGATAAAAAAGTGTGGAAAACTGATTATTTAATTGAATTTTCTTATATCATTAGACCGGAACAAAATTCGAACTTGAACTGTAATTGGCCTTGATTAAACAATATACCAAATATCAAATCAATATCTTTAAGCACGAAGAAAAAAGTGCCGGACTGACAGATGGACAGACAGACGGAGTGCAAACCTAAAGTCCTCTTCGACTTCGTTGGTAGGGGACTAATAAGCTGTTTGTATGTCTCTGAATACTACATACTTCACCCAAAACATCTGAATGCAATCAGATTAGAATCAGCTATTGGTATGGTCTTTGAATACTTTAAACTTCACCACAAACATCTGAATGCAATTTGATTATAATCAGCTATTTATATGGTTCTGAATACTACATACTTCACCACAAGCATCTGAATGCAATCTGATTAAATCAGCTGTTTGTATAGATCTGAATACTACATACTTCAACCAAAACATCTGATTGCAATCTGATTAAAATCAGCTGTTTGTATGGCTCTGAATACAACAAACTTAACCCAAAACATCTGAGTGCAATCTGATTAGAATCAGCTGTTTGTATGGTTCTGAATATAACAAACTTAACCCAAAACATCTGATTGCAATCTGATTAGAATCAGCTGTTTGTATGGTTCTGAATACTATATACTTCACCCCAAACATCTGATTGTAATTGGATTATAAACAGCTGTTTGTATGATCTCTGAATACTACATACCTCACCCCAAACATCGGATTGCAATCTGATTAAAATCAGCTATTTGTATGGCTCTGAATACTTTAAACTTCACCACAAACATCTGATTGTAATTGGATTATAAACAGCTGTTTGTATGAAATCTGAATACAACATACTTCACCCCAAACATCGGATTGCAATTTGATTAAAATCAGCTGTTTGTATAGCTCTGAATACTACATACTTCACCCCAAACATCTGATTGCAATTTGATTAAATTCAAATGTTTGTATAGCTCTGAATACAACAAACTTCACCCCAAACATCTGAATGCAATCTGATTAGAAGCAGCTGTTTGTATGGTTCTGAATACTACATACTTCACCCCAAACATCTGAATGCAATCGGATTAGAATCAGCTGTTTGTATGGTTCTGAATACTACATTCTCCACCCCAAACATCTGAATGCAATCTGATTGGAATTAGCTGTTTGTATGGTTCTGAATACTACATTCTTCACCACAAACATCTGAATGCAATCTGATCAGACATAGCTGTTTGTATGGCTCTGAAAACTACATTCTTTGCCACAAACATCTGAATGCAATCTGATTAGAATCATCCGTTTTTATGGTTCTGAATACTACATACTTCACCACAAACATCTGAATGCAATCTGATCAGAAACAGCTGATTGGATGGCTCTGAATACTACATACTACATACTTCACCACAACATCTGAATGCAATATGATAAACAGCTGTTTGTATGGTTTCTCACATAAGCATGATATCCAAATATAAAGTATCTCTGATTTGTAGCTTCTGAGAAGTAGAGGCTCTGAAGAGACTGTGTCCCACACCTTGGTCTAATTGCATCTTCAAGAATAGGCAATATATAAATAAACAAATGGTGAAAAAATCGTCATACAGAGCAATAACTCTAATAAGGAGTTGACCGACAATTTTACGATGAGACGCATTTGTTGATCTTGTCTTCTTTCATTTTCTTTTTGAAGTTTTTATCTATCTATTATAGTTTCTAAAATATTCAGTAAAACACAAAAAAAAATGTTAAAATTGTCATTAAAGGACAATAATTCCAATAAAGAATTCATCTTCATAAAGATTTTCCTTCAAGTATCACATAAACATTATCTGAGGTCAGGTGAATCCTGTCTGACAGACAGAAAGACCTTGTAAGGAAACCACATACCAAGTATTATCCTATTACTCATAATGCGTGAGAAATTCACATGACAAAAAAAAAACTGTATTATTTTTTAAAGAAGTCTTTGAACCAATTAACATATTTCAGTTGGAAACTTCATAACATAATACATCAAGGTATGAAGCATCGAGGTCATCTACCCTCGTAAATATAAAGCTTTATACAAATAGTTTACGCTGCCGCCAGATTGTTATCCCTATGTCTTGTATTCTGCCACTTTCGTCACAGCGAGACAAAAACTATATCAAAGCTACATAACCATGAAATACGGATCAACTTCATCTTTTGGTATGTGTGATTGTTTGTGTCTGTAGTCCTTATTAAGAAAATGAAATACATAAATGGTAACATCTTTGCTAACCAAGGGTTACAATTCAACCCACTCTGCTTCACCCTTAATAGATTAAAACAGTATTTGAATATACAGCTTAGTGCCATCTAGTGACAGTTAGAAGTCAAGCCCACTTCGACTACATCATAATTGACCAATGACAGCACTTGTACTCTTTAGTTCAGAGGTGTAAAAATGACTGTGTCCAGTGTTTCTAAATTTGATAAAGCAGAAACCGCATTTATACGTTGATATTTCAACATCTGGTATGATCTGCACGAGCAATATACCAAATAACTTCAATTAGCTGATTAAGAACTTCAAAAGTGTTACTAGATTTACCCGATGTTTTGGTGGAAAGATGTGTTGCACAATCTCCACTTGGAAATTGTTTATTCTTCCTTTTCTATATTTACACGTGACTATCTTAAAGGCCTACTTGATTGGATGCAGCTAGTAACGACTGCAACCAATTGAAATCATTACCTTGTAGATTACAAATTCTAACTCAATCTGCGTAGGATGAAGAGGATCACATCGTATTGTAACCCTTGGCTAGTGAAGATGAAATGCTAATTAATTTAGAAAACAGTTCTTAAAAATTATATTTGGAAAAACAAAGGAATTACTGTAGATTCATAATTATTTGCAGTGTACCAATTTTTGTTGCAAACTTAAATTTTCAACTTTCTTAATTTTCTATAAGACTTTTGCAAAACCATGAAATCTAATATCAATGTAAATCAATGTTTCCCTCAATCCATGAAAAAAAAATGAATATAAATGACCGGTATATGAAATTTGACAATAATTTCAGATATATAAACTATGTCTAAACTAAATTAACTGCTGAGACTGTTTTGTTACTTTTAGTCTTTACTGTTTCTTGTTTTAATCATACGATATTACAAAAAATTCTGTGTGTCATCAACATTATGAAATATCTTTAGTAACTTTTTTACCATCCTTAAAAGTTTTCATGCGTTGACTGTCAGGTTCTGGCACATCTGTTAATTGTTTTTCTGTTTCAGACCAAGCCTGAAATTGAACAAGACCTTCATTTAAAAGGATTCAACATAGTGTTACTTGTAACTGCCAAAAAAAATCATTTCCTTAAAAAGTTCTAAGAAAATATCAGCATCAAAATAGGACTTTTGGAAATGCATCTTTTGTCTGTTGACTATTCTTAAATAAAAATTCATTAAGCAACATGATTTCTTCAGGCCTCTTTCGGCTTATTTTTGCTTTATGTAATTAATGGTCATGTAAACGTCTGATGTTAGGTCGTACAGATGTGTCAACTGTAAGTTTAACAATAATCAAAGGATGGAAGCATTTTCACTTTTATATACCACTTGACATTTTACAACCTTTGGACTTTACCAGAAGTCTTAACTTCCTACAAACAAAGGTAAACACCCAAGTTTTTCCTTTATGCTTTAGAGTTATCGCTCCTTGAATAGTTTGGAAGCGGTTAAATTTGAACAATGCATATTTTTTACAAATTCTATTTTATTTGGTTAAGCAATAAATACAAGCTGGCGGCAGGTTTTTGGCTGACATGGCGGTGTCTGAGAACCAGTAAGTTAATTTGAAACCTTCCAAATGTTAATAAAATGCCCTGCAGGGCACAACTTGTTACAACCGCAAAGGTCGAAACCTGAACATTTGGGCTAAGTATGGACACAACATTCAAGCTTGATATAGCTCTGAATTTGGATTGTGATTAAATATTTGACACAGCATAGGTTTCTGACACAGAATGAATGTGGTCTATAAACTTAAAAAATTGAAATCGGAAATTTACCTATTATGGTCCAATATTCAAAATATAAATGCATGGCTATTTTTAGCATATCAAAGAACATGTGCACCTTACAATTACTCCATACACCAAATATTGTTGACCTATTGCTTATTTTACTTGAAAAACAGCCAAAACAGACCAAAACACATGAAAATGAGGTCAAGGTAGGATGAAACCTGCCAGACTGACATGTGCCCATTACAATCATTCACTAGGTCGATGCCACTACTGGTGGAGTTTTAATTGCCCGAGGGTATCACCAGCCTAGTAGTCAGAACTTCTGTGCTGACATGAATTATCATTCATATGGTCATATCTATGAATTAACTGTTTACAAAACTTTGAATTTTTGAAATACTAAGGCTTTTCTACCTCAGGAATAGATTACCTTAGCTGTATTTGGCAAACATTTTAGGAATTTTGGTCCTCAATGCTCTTCAACTTCGTACTTTATTTGGCCTTTTAACTTTTTTGGAATCGAGCGTCACTGATGAATCTTTTGTAGACGAAACGCGCGTCTGGCGTAAATACAAAATTTAAATCCTGTTATCTATGATGAGTTTATTTCCATACACCAAATTAAGTTAACCTACTGCTTATAGTATTTGAGAAACGGACATGATCATGTATTTTTTATCTTGATCCCTGATCCATTAAATGAGGTCGAGGTCAGGTGAACTCTGTCTGACGGACATTGTCCCTATGCAAGGAACCCATATACCAAATTTAGTTATCCTATTACTCATGATAAGTGAGAAATTCACATGACAAAAAAACTCAAATTTGTTTTCAAGCAGTCGATGAACCATGAAAATGAGGTCAAGGACAATGAAAATATGATTGATGGAAATTTCGTAACATAAGGTATCTGCATACAAGATATGAAGCATCCAGGTCCTCTACCTTCTGAAATATAAAGCTTCATACAAATAGTTTACGCCGCCGCCGGATAGTAATACCTATGTCTCGCATACTGCGACTTTCGTTGCAGGCGAGACAAAAATCGTACAAATTGTTCGGTATCCAGTTTTGATGTTGACCATAGGTAAGGGGGAAGTAATTTTCCAAAATTGAAAATAAATATGTATTGGTTGAGTATGTTTTTTTTATATGTGAAAATGAACTTATACTATTTGCCTCTTATTTGACAACATTTGTGCAATAAAATCTTTAGAAAAATAAGTGTGCTTGTCTTAACTAGTGATAACTTCATTAATTAGCCCCTAACTGGGGCCTTTTTCAGAAAAGGATGAGGCCACAATCTCCACAATCAATACAGTACCAGCATATTTCTTTATAAGAAAGAAAACTGTTTTCTTTCAAGATGTGAGACTGTGTTTATCTGAAGATTGAAGATGAGGTTTTGTTAGACTAACATATTTAAGGACAATTTAATTCAATTCATTTTTTCTATACTTACAATATCATACAATCTCCTGAATTCTAAAACTTCTTTGTCATCCTTGAAGGTGTCACCCATTAAAGTCAACAACACAACTTTAAGTGCATATGCACTCATGTACTGACTGAGCGCTATGTGTTCTTCCTTCACAAGTGATGAGAATTTCTTGGATAGGTCATTGGCTATCTATTAACAAAAAGAAGTATCGTATCAACTCATACAACAGAATTATTTATCAGTGAAACATCAATGATTGGATGGAGGAATAGGTCAAAATGTAAATAAAGTTTACACTACTGGGAACTTGGTATCCCAGAAGACTATATTATTTATTGCATTAACACACTGATGTCAAAATAACATGCACCTCTATCAAAAATACCAAGCTTATATTACATGTACTTGGATGAAATGAAAATGGTAATGTTTACATGCCACTAAATACTTTACTTACAATTTGAAATGTTTCATAGTACTTTTTAATAGCATCATGAGTCAATGCCTCATCATAATTCTTTCTCCTTGTCCTGCCATCTTGCTTATTTGCATACTGAATACTTTTTGGTCCAATCAGAATTTCAAACAGCTTGAATAACTCAGCTATAAAATATCATTTAAAAGTTTCATTTGATTGTCTGAAAAAAGGCAAGTTCTTGGTACTGTAAAAATTATACCTATACAGATTACAATTACATTTACAATGAAACTATTACAATGGACGATAAATCATGTTTGATGTTTTTTCACTTCTGCTAACATTGTTTAACTTGATTTTTAACCTCTGACAAAAAATATCACTTAAAAGAATTAAGTATTGTCTACAGTAACTTATTAATCAGTAAGAGTAGCTTGACTTACGATATCTGTTAAATAGAGTATTGTCTATAGTAACTTATTAATCAGTAAGAATCGCTGGACTTACAAGGTCTGTCAAATACAGTATTGTCTACAGTAACTTATTGATCAGTAAGAGTAGCTTGCCTTACAAGGTCTGTCAAAAACAGTATTGTCTACAGTAACTAATTAATCAGTAAGAGTGGCTTGACTTACGACGTCTGTCAAATACAGTATTGTCTACAGTAACTTATTAATCAGTAAAAGTGGCTTGACCTACGAGGTATGTCAAATACATTATTGTCTACAGTAACTTATTAATCAGTAAGAGTGGCTTGCCTTACGAGGTCTGTCAAATACAGTATTGTCTACAGTAACTTATTAATCATTACGAGTGGCTTGACTTACGAGGTCTGTCAAATACATTATTGTCTACAGTAACTTATTAATCAGTAAGAATGGGTTGACTTACAAGGTCTGTCAAATACAGTATTGTCTACAGTAACTTATTAATCAGTAAGAGTGGCTTGACTTACGAGGTCTGTCAAAAACATTATTGTCTACAGTAACTTATTATTCAGTAATAGTGGCTTGACTTACGAGGTATGTCGAATACAGTATTGTCTACAGTAACTTATTAATCAGTAAGAGTGGCTTGACTTACGAGGTCTGTCAAATACAGTATTGTCTACAGTAACTTATTAATTAGTAAGAGTCGCTTGACTTACAAGGTCTGTCAAATACAGTATTGTCTACAGTAACTTATTTATCAGTAAGAGTCGCTTGAATTACAAGGTCTGTCAAATACAGTATTGTCTACAGTAACTTATTAATCAGTAAGAGTGGCTTGACTTACAAGGTCTGTCAAATACAGTATTGTCTACAGTAACTTATTAATCAGTAAGAGTGGCTTGACTTACAAGGTCTGTCAAATACAGTATTGTCTACAGTAACTTATTAATCAGTAAGAGTGGCTTGACTTACAAGGTCTGTCAAATACAGTATTGTCTACAGTAACTTATAAATCAGGAAGAGTGGCTTGACTTACGAGGTCTGTCAAATACAGTATTGTCTACAGTAACTTATTAATCAGTAAGAGTAGCTTGACTTACGAGGTCTGTCAAATACAGTATTGACTACAGTAACTTATTAATCAGTGAGAGTGGCTTGACTTACAAGGTCTGTCAAATACAGCATTGTCTACAGTAACTTATTAATCAGTAAGAATAGCTTGACTTACGAGGTCTGGCAAGTACAGTATTGTCTACAGTAACTTATTAATCAGTAAGAGTAGCTTGACTTACGAGGTCTGTCAAATACAGCATTGTCTACAGTAACTTATTAATCAGTAAGAGTCGCTTGACTTACGAGGTCTGTCAAATACAGTATTGTCTACAGTAACTTATTTATCAGTAAGAGTGGCTTGACTTAAAAGGTCTGTCAAATACAGTATTGACTACAGTAACTTATTAATCAGTAAGAGTAAATTGACTTACGATGTCTGTCAAATACAGTATTGTCTACAGTAACTTATTAATCAGTAAGAGTAGCTTGACTTACGAGGTCTGTCAAATACAGTATTGTCTACAGTAACTTATTAATCAGTAAGAGTAGCTTGACTTACGAGGTATGTCAAATACAGTATTGTCTACAGTAATTTATTAATCAGTAAGAGTAAATTAACTTACGAGGTCTGTCAAATATGTTCTGGTGTTCTTTAAATAGATCAGCTGAGGCAACACTTGCCACAAACTGCTGTCCCATCCAAAATGATGCAATAGGCCCATACTGCTTGTGAATATCCAATAGAAATTCATAAAGACTCCCAGCCCTCTTAATGTCTGCTAAATTACCATCTCTTAAGATGCAAACAATAATATTCAATAAATTAATATAAAATATACAAACAAACAGTCTATAGAAATTTAAGTAACTAAAACGTAGGATGTCATGATATCAAGATTTATCAGTTTAAGTACTTTTCATTTCTATGATGCAACATTTAGTATTTTTGTTTTTATATATTATCATAAAGTTGTTTGCATGTACAATATCCAGGTTTGCAAATACTTTCTAAATATTAATACTTACTCTTTAGTAGTGGGATCTGGACCAGGTATTGAACTTGGCTTGGATGATCCCTGAAATAAGAGTAAATTCCCAGATTTATGGCTGAAAATAAAACACAAAAGGATATTGATTTATCACACCAGTTTTGACTGAATAGTGTTAAAGTTGAAATCAAAGAAACCTCCTTATCATAAGCCAGACAATCTTACTTGATCTCAAAAGGAAGCATATTCATACAAGTAAACTATTTATTACATTACATTACATACAAATTTCTTTAAAAATGTTTTATTCCAAGTAGGTTTTGGAAGCTCCTTTAAAAATAATATATACAAAATAAACATTCATGAATACAACATTTATAATAATTGTCTTGTTTACCTGAAATAAAAAAAAAATATAATAGCAGATATGTGGCTATCTAAATTTTTGGCTAACCTTCCTGGTGAATGTTTTTACTATAAAATGCATTGTGCTTTCAAACCTGGGTCCAGAAGATTGGTGTTTGCTTTAATGTACACTATACAGCTTGTTAATTTTAACTTTATATTTTCATGCTAAACACTTCAGTATATATTTAGGGTCTTAGATGCTGCAAAGAAAATGATAAGAGAACAAAATTGCATCGGAGTGTTTTGGGAAAAATTTAAAACAAAATCCATGCAATAACTTTGTTTTATTCATTGAGGTCAAAATTGCTTTAAATTTTCAGAACGAATGCTACTAAATTTAAATTCCTGTATATTGAAATAGTAATTCTTGATAAATTCATTTTTTTTAGTTTATCATTATATAATATTTTCACATTTTAGGCGAAAAAAAGCAAATATATGTTTCTTAAACCTATTGGGTTGGTAAACCGTAATGCAGATCAGATCATTTTGTCACAAGCTGGAAAATATCATGTCAGCACCCTTCTGGTATTATGTATATGGTCAATTGCAATATGCCGATGAACAAATATTGATGATGCTATACAAGGTTTTGATCAGCATGATCAGGGAGCAAGAGTGGAAGAAATGAGTGGTCATGAAAGTGAAGAGTAAATGGAGAGTAATATAATAAATGTCATTTGCATAGTTGTTTTCCTGTGATAGTAGGAAGTTAAGGAATAGGGGAGGGGGGTTCAAATTTTCAAATCAGTTCTTTGGGGGGTAGGGGGTTGTTTCTTGGATTTTTACAAACAGGAAGGTTAATTTTATCATCATTATTTTGGTGATTCTTTGTATCTGTTCTATTTTGTAGCTGTTGAGGTGTATTCTAGCTGTGATCTTACTAGTCCAATGTAAGTTTGGTTCTTCACTTTTGTTGATGAAATTCTGATTTTTCTCTGCAAAAGTCCAAGTGTTTTATTGCTCTGTCCGTTATCTGCTGTATGTGTTGATCCCATTTCAGGTTGTTTTGAATAGTGAGACCAAAATATTTGGCTGCCTGTACCTCTTCCAAATTGTGACTATGGTGATGATATGATGTTTTAATTATCAGTGTCTTCTTGTTTGTTACCCTCAAGATGTTGCGTTTGTCAGGGTGAAATTTCATGCACCATAGTTGTTCCTATTTTGCTAGTTTATTTAGGTCTTATTTTGCCACAGTTTTTGGATGTTATTGTCAGTTAGGCGATGGTGTCATCTGCAAACAGATGACGGAACTGTAGCATTTACGTCTTTTTGCAAGTCATTGATGTAATTCACAAGATGCCCAAGGACTGAGCCCTGGGGTACTCCTGAATCTGCAGGGACTGATGTTAAATCGCATCCTTCTAATACGACAGTTTGTGTTCTTTCACTCAGCCAGTTCTTTATCCACGTATTTGTGTTGCCTCTAATTCCATAAACTTGTAATTTGTTCACAAATAAGCTATGGTTTACCTAGTCCAAATATTTATGAAGTCTTGAGAGGCTTTTTAAATTTTTTCTGCGACGCCTTCCTATGACGTTGTAAAAATACGTCACAGAAAGAACAAAAATGGAGAATGTGTCCATGGGACACAGATGGATGATGCCCCCACTTGCATATAACGTTACAAAGGGACATAACTCAAGAACAGTAAAAGAAACGCTACCCAAATTTGTACTTGATCTGAGTTTTGTGGTAATAAGCATTGCGTATAAATTTCATAAAATTTGGTTGAGGCAAACTTGTGTTAGAGAACGGACATGAAAACTTCAGCAACTTTTCTATTTGTAAAGGGGCATTACTCTAGAACAGTAAAAGTGACACCACCAAAATTCAAACTTGATTTGAGTTTTGTGGTAATAATCATTGTGTATAAGTTTCATAACATTTGGTTGAGGCAAATTAAAATTAGAGAACGGAAACAAAAAAATTTATCAATTTTTCCATTTATAAAGGGGCATAAATCTAGAACTGTAAAAGTAACGCCACGAATATTCAATCTTGATCTGAGTTTTGTGGTAATGAGCATTATGTATAAGTTTCATAACATTTGGTTGAGGCAAACTAAAGTAATTGAATGGAAACTAAAAATTCAACAATTCTTCCATTTGTAAAGGAGCATAACTCTAGAACGGTAAAAGTGACGCCACCAAATTTCAGACTTTATCTGTGTTTTGTGGTAGTAAGAATTGTGTATAAGTTTCAAAATATTAGGTTGAGGCGAACTAAAGTTAGAGAACGGAAAAGAAAAATTCAGCAATTTTTCCATTTCTAAAGGGGTATAACTCTAGAACTGTAAAAGTAACGCCACCAATATTCAAACTTGATCTGTGTTTTGTGGTAATAATCATTGTGTATAAGTTTCATAACATTTGGTTGAGGCAAATTAAAATGAGAGAACGGAAACTAAAAATTCATCAATTTTTCCATTTGTAAAGGGGCATAAATCTAGAACTGTAAAAGTAACGCCACCAATATTCAATCTTGATTTGGGTTTTGTGGTAATGAGCATTATGTATAAGTTTCATAACATCTGGTTGAGGCAAACTAAAGTAATTGAATGGAAACTAAAAATTCAACAATTCTTCCATTTGTAAAGGAGCATAACTCTAGAATGGTAAAAGTGACGCCACCAAATTTCAAACTTTATCTGTGTTTTGTGGTAGTAAGAATTGTGTATAAGTTTCAAAATATTAGGTTGAGGTAAACTAAAGTTAGAGAACGGAAAAGAAAAATTCAGCAATTTTTCCATTTGGAAAGGGGCATAACTCTAAAACTGTAAAAGTAACGCCACCAATATTCAAACTTGATCTGTGTTTTGTGGTAATAAGCATTGTGTATAAGATTATAACATTTGGTTGAGGCAAACTAAAGTTAGAGAACGGAAACTAATTTTGGGACTTACTGACGGACACACAGAAGGACAAGGGTAAAACTTAATGCCCCTCCGCTACGGCAGGGTCATAATTAAAACAGCTTTTCAAGACCTCATAATTATATGGACTATGGTTTACCTAATATATATATCAAAGGCCTTTAAATTGCTAAGTCCATTTTCATAATATCAGCACTTTTGTTTAGCATTTTGTCACTTTTCTATCTTTTCTCAATAATTAATTTTATGTTGCACTGTAAATTGCACACTCTTATGGGACATTACTCCACAAACGAGTATCATATCCCATATATAGATAAATGGTCCCAATCTGTCAAATTGAAAGTAGAATTTGTTAGTCATTTCAGTACGCATTTTGATAGACAACTTGACCCTAATTTTAACACTCTCGCTATCAAATAAATATAAATCTTACGGGGTAGAAATAAATTACAACTGCTATAAGTCCTCCAACAAATGTGACGGCAAAAATAGCAAACTCCAACATTGCAATATTGCTGACGTAGTAATGTTTGATGAATCGATGTGTAATTCGTACCTTTTCCGTCTCGGAACCAACTAAGTCGTACCCATTTCTATCAACTCGTATCTCGTCTTACTTTTATGATAAAGGTAAACATAAAAGAAATCGAAACAAGGTTTATCGTCAACTTATCTCGTCTGAACCTGAAACGGGGATAAATGGTAGGTAGAAGGTAGATTTTTTATGGAATTTTATTTCTTTGAAAAAGAGACGAAAGATACCAAAGGCAGTAAATTCTGTACGGTAGAAAAATTAGCCCACATACTTTCCCTATGTAATGAAGTCCATGACCATAATTTTAGTGGAAAAGTAAGTCTCAGGATATATTTTCCAAGAAAATTAAGTCCATAACTAGTAAAATATGTCTGGATTGTATTTTCCTAGGAAATTTACAAATTCAATGTATAACGTTACAGCTCTTTTGAAAATGACTTAATTATAAAAATATATAAGATTTGAAACATGTTGTAAAAAAATCTAATTTCCTAGTTTATCTACGGACATTAATTACCGACATCGGACTAAAATATTAGTAAATTCTGTAACCACGGACTTTTTATAGACAATGGACAATATTTATTAGCACAAACACATTTACATTAAATATATAGTTATATGGCATACAGTATAGACTGTACAATTGAAATAATAAACTGACAATAATCAAATTAGAGTGATAGTAGTATTCACACGAAAAAGAAGACTACAAATATGTGTGTATTGACAGATAAACAATTATTAATGTCCATGAACAAAAACGGATACATATAAAAAATTATAAAAAATAAAAATTATGCAGATTTTCTCAAAAAATGACAATCATTAATATATTTTGTGGCAATGTTTATAATGACTGGCAAACTGCTATTCAAAAGTGTTGTCATATGCCTCAGTGTTATAGCTGATTGCAATTTAATATATAAAATTGAAATTAAGATTAGTGTTAATTTTTTTTGTATATACGAGGGTTGTCCGTAAAGTTTGAGGACAATCTCAATAAAATATTATTTACCCGTCCGAAATAAATAAAACAAGTGTATAAGTTAACTAGTTTCATGAATTACTGATTAAGTGTACAAAATTTTATTTCGGTATCTGCTTAAATAATCGTATTTTAATCAATGAAAAAATCATATTAAATAAACTCCCACCCGACGTTCCGACGTTCGACGGCGTCAATATTTTAACTTTCTCAACGTAGTCTCCTTCAAAGCAACACATTTTTTACATCTTTTTAACCAGTCATCAAATATTTTCTCAACCTGTTCTGTTTTCATTTTTAAGATAAGTTCATTACTTCCTGTCTTAGTTCAGGTAAATCGTCGAACCTTTGTCCACGGAGAAAAGATTTGATATGCGGGAATACCGCAAAATCCATTGGCGCTAAGTCAGGGCTATACGGTGGATGTTTCAGACATTCGAATCTAAGTAAATCAATTTCTAGATGAGTTTTTAGAGAAGTGTGGGCCGGTGCATTGTCTTGGTGTAATATCACTTGCTCTATATTGGCTGCTAAATAAGGGCGTTTGAACCAAATCTTGCCTCAGTACCTGAAAGTACAAAATAAACGGACATTTAATCGTACTGCATCTAAATTAAAATAAGATTGATAATTTATTTTTTATTCTTTGATAAACACCTTCTAAAACTGTTTTTTTCATTTTATTTAGGTTTTAATTATTATTATAAGATCATTCATTATTTTTAAAAGCAAATATTATGTTCAATACCTTGGAGTAGTATTCAGAATTAACAGTCTGGCAACGGGGTACAGCATGTGTCAGTAACATTCCTTTTCGGTCCATGAAGAGAATGAACATATTCTTTCCCATTGATTTGGTTATCTTTGCCTTCTTTGGTGGCGGTGAGTTACAGTTTTTTTTACTGACTTGACTGTTGTTTAGTTTCCGGATCGTAGTAATGAAACAAGCTTTCGTCGGTTGTAATTATTCTGTCTAGAAATCGTATGCCACCACGAGAAACTTTTTTAATAAATTGATTTGACAATTCCATTCTTTTTGTTAAATGTTCTGCTGTAAGAAGTCGCGGTACCCATCTAGCACATGCTCGATTCATATTTAAATCATTTGCTAAAATGTGGTGCGCTGTAGTCTTAGAAATGTCACATTTGTCTGCAACTTCGCGAACTGTTAGTCGCCAGTCACTTTTGATAACGTTCAGAACTTCATCTTTTATCGTATCTGATTCTCCGAAAGAAGGCCTGCCTTCCCGTTCATCGTCTTCCAAATTGTCTCTTCCGTCCCCAAACCTTTTGTGCCACTTGAATACTAATGAACGACTAACTTTGCTATGTTTCTCAGACTGTTTTAAGAATTTGTGTGTTTTGTTGTCGTTTTTCCGATGTCTACACAAAACGTTATAACCGCCCGCTGCTCCACCTTTTCCGTAAATTTCCTTTTTTTGAGTGATGCCGATTCCGGATTCAATGCTTCAAAACGAGATTTCTCCGCCATTTCGAAATTTTGACCATTTAAATTAAGCAGGTGCATGTAACGTCAAGACTATTGTCGACGTCACAATGTAAGTTTCGTGTATTTTTTGGCGGATTTTGAAACTTAAAATTACAAAAATATGAAAACACCAGCCTGCATGTTATGTGATATTTTCGCCGTGCCCCGGGTCCCTATTGCTTATATTTATATGAAGTACTAGTAAGTGTTATTATGACGCATTTAAAATTAGACAAATATTGATATAACCGAACTAGGATATAGTTCAGGATTACAATTTTGCTAAAAGAATTTACCTGAAATGCTATTTTTACGCAGACTTCAGCTTGTCCAGGAACTTTACGGACAACCCTCGTAGGTATCCCTCAATGATATATAACATGGACAGACTGAGAAGAAATGGTATTCATCCTCGACTTTTTGCCTATTACAGGATAGGCAAATGCGTTGTTTTCTTTTATACTAAAACTTTGTATCTGCCCGGATACATTTTACCAGGACTAAAATATATCTTGTATATTCAAACTCATTAGTCGAAAAAAAAAACCTGACAATGCCATGACAAAAAGTGAAATACGATCGAAAGATCAACAACATTAGACGAAACACAACATAGTAAACCATAGACTGAGCAACACGAATCCCATCAAAAACCGGGGGCGATTTCAGGTGCTCTGGAAGAGTAAGCAGACCCTACTGCACCTGTTGCACCGTCGTGTTGCTTATGTTAGTACAAATCTGGTGATTAAAGTAATCTAATTCGGTAGGTCACATTCGAGGAAAAGAGGACGTGTTTGTGGTTACGACAACAGGAAAATATCCGTCGTTACCTGTGAAACAGATATTCTATATCGGTCAACCAATTCGTGATGGCGTCGGTAAAATTTCGAAGGGATGATTTTGAACAACTTCACCACTTGGTTTAATAGTTTCCTTGTAAGCAGCAACCCTCTATCAAGGAAATCACGATAGTAAATGCAAGCTTTGGACTATCGGATCAACTGGGAGATATATACTCCATATGCAGGCGCTGCTGGAATGTTGATACGATGGAAAGTCCACAATTGGATTAAATATCCCTTATCTCACGTTCGATGGGATAGATGCGTTCAACAAAGTCACCAAACTTTGACTTATTTAGTTAAAGACATCATCTTTATAGTGCAACGTGAAGTTAAAGGATAATGCTTGCTTCTTTCATTCTTCCTAAGAAGCTCCTGTGTGAAGTTATTAGCCTAGAAGAGGAGCACAGTTGGTAATGCCGATCGTTTGTTGAAAGACATGTCCTCCAAACGTAACAAATATGTTGTCAATCAAGAAATCAAGCATCTTGATAATGTTAGTTTTAGAGAATTTTTTGTTTGAATCAGAGTGATTATTACAAAGTACGATATATCCCTCCCTAAGACAAGATACTTGTATCTACGTTGGCCATTTTTTATTTATAACAAAGCAGGGCCAATTCTTTCAATTTATCTTTTAGTTTGGCATGGGGAATACTTGTGTAAACGGTATAAAAGTAAAATGTTTTAATACTGGTTATTGCAAGAGGAAAGAGACTGAGATTGTATGTACTCTAACAAATCTTTGGAAAATTTTAGTATCTACTATAAAATATTTGTCATGGAGGTAGGACAGATTCTTAGCAATATTTGGGCCTTTAAAGATCATTGTAGCATGTGTATTCATAGACCCATTCAGTTTTATTAATTCTAATTTGTATCAACGACATCACAGCCTTAAACCATTCGGAAAGAGTAGCTACGTCTTCTTTTTCGCGTTCAGCCCATTACCCGGCATAATTCTGGACTGAATCCATCAATATTTTGAAGTTATGTTTTCAATTGATGGATTAAGGCTCACGATATTTTGGGCCTTTGGATAACACTTTTTTTGCAGAAAAGTGTTATTGACAATGTTCAAGTCACTAGTGATAACGTGGCCAGCCGTATTATATATGAATAGGGAACTATCACAGGTGCAATCAGGAGGTTTAGACTTGAAGTCGTCAATATTGAGTTCCTGCAACACGTGTTTGTAATTGAAAATTAAAGTTGCAATTGGTTTGGTATAGGTAAAAGATGATGGTAGGTTCAGACCGGTCTTTAAAGTAAGGAGATATTTTCGAGTGAACTGATTTATGATGAAGGATATTGTCCAAGTTGATTGCATCGAGACATTTGTTAGCAAAGGAAAGTTTCAGAAAGGACATTTTCTCCTTTTCATCTTTCAAATGCGAATCGGTCTGAGAATTAGTCTGTGACTGGCAATATCCGAGATGATAGCTGTAAGTTTGAATTGGTTTGAATGGGCTCGTCAGTAGTTTCCAAACATAAGTTGTACAGAGAATGGAGTTTTGAAAGGGGATAGTGAATAAAGCTATTTTTCATTTGACCATCAAATATGATTAAAACATATCACTTTTATGTATTATGAAGCAGTAAACTGTCTTGATTCATCATTTGAATCTAAAGAAAAATAAAAACTGGTTTGTCTTGAACCCTACGTGTTCAACTATTCATTTAT